TCCTGAACTACCGCAGAAACAAAGAATCATCGACGTGAATTATTCCTTGCAACCACTTTATCCTGAGAGACTCAAGATAAGGAAAAAGAAGTGGATGCATCTACAAGAACCTAAAAAAGTATTACCATCAGATACCCACTTTTTTCATGACACAGTTCCTTATTATGAGAATGCAGAGAAAAATCACTCAACAATGACGGAGAATTCGATAAGAAATGAGGCGGACAGTAGTAACAAAGAAAAATTAACTTCGAACAAAAAACTAGTGAAAAGAATTATGATAAGATTTCTAGAACACGTAATAACTTGAAGACTGATGGAAATGTAACAATGTATAATCATATGAAAAAAAGATGGGAGCCTGTCCAGTGTGAATAAAAATGAGGCTCCAAGATCATATAATGTCTAGATCAAACTGGTAACATCATCAGGAGAAATAGAATTGATCTGAGGCCATCGGCCAATAATTCTGTAAAACCTAATCTAGTACTTGAATGAGGTAGGTACTGAAAGTGTAGGTAGAAATGAAACATTGTCAATCCCTGACCAACCAGATAAGGTTATCAATGTGAAAACTAGGTCAGGTAGGGTGGTTTCATTAAAAGCACTAGTATAAAACAGTCAATGTGGCAATGGGTGTACAAATCGGCAATGCTAGGCAGTTGTCGGCAATGCTAGGCAGTAGTCCGCAATGCTAGGCAGTAGTCCGCAATGCCAGGCAGTAGTCCGCAATGCTAGGCAGTAGTCGGCAATGCTAGGCAGTAGTCTGAAATGCTAGGCAGTGGTCGGAAATGCTAGGCAGTGGTCGACAATGCTAGGCAGTGGTCAAAATAATTTGCGTCTGCGTTATAAAATGGAATAGTGGTGGGGAATTCGCATAATCCTGTATTTCATATCAATGTTGCCGGATTGTGCTGATCTTCTTCAACTTGAGGAAGAAACTACTTTAATGATCTTGAACTGATAGGATAACCCAAAAAGTATAAAATAGCATTTTCATGAATTTACATGGAAGTAAAAAGAGACCATTCTTCAAAACAACACAATTTGACTCGGCCAAACGAAACCTTTACTCTAGGAAATAATTTTGTCAAAAATTTCTCTCAACAGAGTAATTTCCTCCACAATTTTTTTTTTTCAGGGAGGAAGGAAAATATCCCTCCTGCATAAAAAAGGACTCTATATTCATTTTAAACCATCTAACCTAAATCCGCCTAATAAATCTTCCTATTGAAAATTATATTTTTCGGAAAATCACAACAAAATTTTAAAAAAGCCGACCGTCGTAGGCATTGAACCCGGGTCGCCGAAGTCAACTACGCCACAAGTCGTAGTAACTGTTGATAGTATGAAGAAACAATTTAGTCGCTGTACAGGCACTTGCCGCGCTGATTATATTTGTTACCTCCTGTCTCTAGGCGCTAGTATTCGGATTCGAACGAAGATATAGTCGGCAGTGAACGGCGATGTTATAGGCAATGGATAGAAATATTCTGCGATGTTTCAGCAGTAGTTTAGGAAATGCGACAATAAATCAGCAATTAATAGAAATTTCACATATTATTTATCCATTATCATTATTATTACATCTGAGAGGTCGCCTGAAAGTATTTTAGCAAGATCAGGCAATGTCTTTTCTGGTCCTTTCCTATAGCAGTTTACCAAATAAATTCCAAGATTTCATTGTTGTAGTTATCTCCATTGGTCATCAACGAGGTCATCAATGAAGCAAGGAATATTTTGAGGGAAACAGTAGATATAATTCGCATATCAATCAATATCAGAACAGTAATACTGATGCCAAGAAAACAAAATACATAGTATTCTTGCCTTTTCTTTGCACAACGGGTGAAAGACTAGCCACGTCCACAAATATACACTCAGAAAAATGTATGTATTAAAAAAATCCATAAATCCAGCTAGACGAACATTTTGTAGGCCTAATAAAATAGATTGCCCTAATCAGAATACGCCTTCAATGACTGTGATAATATTTTGTCAGGCCATAGGAGGGGGGTGCTGAAAGGCGAATTTTAAAAAAAACTCAATAGCATCCTCAAATGAAGATGTTGAGGTTTTTCAGTAGCAAGAATCGACAGCCCTAGACGGAATACACCTTCAGTGAGGACCGAAATATTTTGACAGGCCGTAGAAGTGTTAAAAGGGCTGACTAAAAAAACTAGAACTCTCTTGAATGAAGACTTCAAAAACGTCACTTGAGGAAATTATCCGTTTAATTCTGGTAATCACCCCCCGTAGTACATGCTACCTATGGCCTAGCAATTTTTCCATGGGTACTAGAGGTGTATTTATAATGATAATAATAATATTACTAATAATAATAATATTAAGGCTAATGACCTAGCTGTCCATGCCTTAATCAAGAAAGAAAAAAAATAATAATAATATTACTAATAAAAATTATATTACTGATAATAAAAGGTAATAATAAGTGAAATCAATGATACATTTTTCTCCATGAATGGGGTAGTGGCGTTCAAGGTAATGATATTAGAGCAATGGAACATCAAAGGCGGCATCAAAGCTTTCGTATATAGAGGATGGGTAATCTGTGATGTTGCCACTTTCACACATGTCCTCAAATACACTTGAAATAATTCTTCTGTGTTATGAAAAAAATCGAAAAAGACTAAGGTGATGACAAAATAGAAACGGACATTTCTCTGGAAGTAGATTTCAATTAATTTCACAAGAGTTTTTTTCATAATCATGGATCATATGATGGAATAAAATCCGTATCTCCATAACATAACTCCTAACTAGAGTCCCTGTATGTATAATTCCCTGTATATATTTGTCAATTTTTTTGTAATAAGAGTACGGACACTATGACAAGCAGTGACGGAAGGCATAACCCCAAATTCTCAAAATGACTTCTGAACAAAGACATGGATATGCTTTTCCATGCACTTCGAATCTTCTATCCTCTACTGCCACGGTGAAGGGTACATCCATATATCTTTCTCAGTCTTTATTTTCATAAAGAAGTGGCGTCTCTCGCTTCCATTTTTGCAATTCTCCACTACACAATTAGACATTTTAATTTTTGAAAACCTGAATTTTCAAATAATTTAATGTCATGTACGTTCATGAACTATCAGTGCCCGCCAAATTGTTCATGTCATTTCAAATTTTTTAGGGTTATGCCTTCTGTCACTGCTTGTCATAGTGTCCGTACTCTTATTACAGCAAAAGTGTCAAATACATACAGGGACTCTACTCCTAACTAACTAACTAATTTATCTATATGTAGCTTTAGGCTAGGTAGTTATACTATGTTCAAGATTATCTCAGGTGAAATTGATTGATATGAACTTCTCAACAGGATTAACTTCAAAGTTCCCTCATATTTTACTAGAAACATAGAATTATTTGTCATAAATAATCATAGAACTGACTATGGGTTCTTCAGCCCATTTTCTGGTATTTTGCTTAATTTCAATGCATTTAACATATTTTTAGCCATATTATTATTTAAAAATAGAATTTGTAAAATTGATCCTAGGTTAATCACCAGACAGTATTTACCATTAACTTAGTTGATTTTTTTTCTATTTTCTTTTGTTTTACTCTCTCCTTTGGGCATAATGTAATTGTTCAACCTGATGGCTGTAAATAGGAAATAGTTTCAACAACAAGTTGTAGTGTGTACAAAAAGTTCAATTTACTTTATTGTTGAATTTCATTTGTTGAAGCCTTGGTTGAAGCTATGATGTTATTGTCCTTATGCTATCTTGATCATATATTATTAATTTCTATTGTGAAGGTGGATCCTGGACAGGTGGATGTTCTTTTTTAAGAATCCATATTTTTACATGAAATTTTTCAACCCCCTATCCATTTCCTACCCTACAGATCAACCCTTTCAGAATGTTTTAATTGTACAAGAAGACAAGTTACACATCCTTAGGGGCATTTCAAATCTCTATACCATATGGTCTGTTTTATTAATTTGATTGAGCCATATCCCCAAGAGTGCAGTCATAAGAAGCATTATTTATTGAAATTCTTGTCAATTATTTTGTAATGGTAAATACTATTCCATTGTATTAAGTACTTGTACAGTTAGAAAGAGTTTACATACTAAATGTAGATATATGCCTGAGTCTATGCCTATGTTGTATAATAACAATAGTACCCACCATTACATTGTACATAGGCATAGAGGGATATTCAGTATGGAAACCTCATTTCAACATTAGGTAAATTCACTGTACAAGTAATAAAATGAAACAGTACCCAATACCCATTACTAATTTTGGAGAAAATTGCAATAAATTTTCAATCTTTTCACTGCACTTAACTTCTGCTTGGTGTAATGGTGAGAATTATACAAGTACAGTGATGGGTGTTAACTCTTTGTCAGGATCTAGATAAGAATTAACCACCTCCAAGCCATTTGTTATTTTTTTTTAATTTATGTACAGGGTGATTTCAAAATGTGACTGATTTGAAAATGTTATGACAAATATGTTGCCACATTTTCAAATTCATCTACTTCCATACTTTTTTCTAACTGAATAGATTCATTAACTCATGAAGGTATACCCTCGGGTATACCTACCGAGATACCTACCCTGTATATGATATATGACTAGACTAGATGTAGGGAAAAACTCTTGAAACAGTAAAAATGTCAAGAGATGATAAATAAAATGAATGAATGGATAGAATACATGTTTTTTTTTTAATTGATGAACTTTGAAGATGCACCAATGTTGCATTGTTGGTCAAATTCATTATTGCCCTGCATCTGCAGAATGAGGAATTAATGGACATATATGTTCATAGAAATGTTTCTTCTTGTTTGGCCATTAGGAATGGGTCCCTGAATTTACTACCTGAACTAGAGGAAACCCTGTCTGGGATATCAACAGGCCAGCTGATCATCTAGTTGCCATCCATTACAATGATTCATTAAGATATTGACTAGACATGATAATATGAACAAGTTTTTGAACAGGAATAAGGTTACTCACCCAATATAATCAAAATCTGAAAATATAAAAGTTTTCTTTACATCAAAACCAATTGCTATGATATCCTTAGCATTCTCATAAGCCATTTTATGTGCTTCTTCTAGAGATATATCTTTCCATAGGGTTTTTTCATCATCAGTCAACTGGATCACCAGAGGAACATCAAATACATCTTGCAGCCACTTGCACAATTGAAAAGGGATAAGATGACCTAAATGCATTGAAGTGGAGGATGGACCCCTTCCTGTGTATAAGTAGAATTGTTTTCCAGATTCAAAGTTATTCAAAATTGTGTGCATGTCGCGGTGTGAGAAAAATATTCCTCTCCTCAACAAATGATGCACTTTCTTGCCAGTCACTTTTTCAAAGCGATCTAAAAGCTCCTCATCTATTTTAGAGCTACCAAATTTTTCTGTAAACAAAAAAGTTCGGGAAACGGTTCCAACATTAGGAAAATTCATATTGTTGAACTTACTTATGAGTTTATCATAGTCTACACCGGTTTCAGATTTGCTAACCACTGTCCATGGGTCCACAATATCAGTCTCATCATTTTCCTGCACAGTTCCAATAGGTACTTTGTCTATATGATTGGTTTCTCCAGACATTTTCAAGTTCTTTCAACAACTATGACTATGACGAAAGTATGCCAGCTGGTAAGATGACTAAGATGAGAGATGAGTTGCCTTTCTATCTTATGAAAATTTCATAATTATTATCATAGTGGATGCTGGATGATTATTTTATGAAATATGAAGTTATGTCAAACATGAATAAGGTTATGGTAGACTGGTAGAGGTCCGAAAGTATCAAGACGTGTATCGAAGTAACAAAGTATCGATAAATTTTTATATGGTATCATGGTATCGATACTTTGAACGATACTGACATGAAATTATATTCGTCGAATGCCAACTGTCACCTTCATTTTGGAGTTCTGCTTAGTGTTACCGTTTCATGTATATTTATACAAATTATGTAAATTTTGGAGGTCTGTGTATAACTACGAAGGCGTAGAGAGGCCATCAACTTATTTTTATTTCAATTCCGAGTTGTAACTTGGAATTCCGACTTGTAACTCAGAATTCCGAGTTGTAACTCAGAATTCTGACTTGTAACTCGTAGGGTCCCTTGATGGAAATTGACATTAAAGTCATCTCAACAGGGTACGGACAGATCATAGCTGCTTAATAGCTGCATTCTTTTTTAATGATCTAGAGATTTTTGTTTTGTCTACTGGCATCCCTGACATTGCTGTCACGTCTCATCCATGGGCGCTACAGAAAATCATTCAAAATATTAATGATGGGTATGTACAGGGTATTTACTTGTTGGGGAAGATCATATGGCGAACGATTTTGTGATTATGATCCGATTCTATTCAAAAACGGAAGGTATTTGGGGTTTTCCGTGGTTGGAGATGATGATTGTTTCGTCAAACTTGAAAAATTCAAGATGACGGATCCAATATATAGCAAAAAAACTAATCAGTATCAGATCCTATTTAAGATAGGTATCTGAGGGTCAAACTTTATGATTTTTTGTCAAAATTGGGAAATTCAAGATAGCGGATCGAATATGGCGAACGAAACTTGTAATTATTATGATCCGATTCTATTCAAAAAATCAAAATTGGTATCTGGCAATTTCCGGGGTCGGAGATTATGATTATTTCGTCAAAATTGGGATATCCAATGACGGATCCAATATATGGTGGACAAGTTTCGTATTGAAGATCCGAGTCTATGCCAAATTGGTATCTATGGGGGATTTCGGGGTAGGAGATTATGATTGTTCCGTCAAAATTGGAAAATTCAAGATGACGGATCCAATATGGCGAAAGACATTACTTTATATAATTATTACTAAGCCACATATAGAAAGTATGTAGGAACGTGCCTATATAAGTTATACTGCGTATACTTAGCGTATACCTACTTCTTTCTTACTTCCATCAAAAAATTATTCGAAAATGACTTTTCATTCAAAAGAGACGGAAAAATCATATGTATAACATGGGGGTGAAGTATATTCTATTCTTTACTTTCCTGCACATTTTGCGCATAAATTTTTATCAGCCTACTTTTCGTCCTAGGCGAAGTTTTATACATAGTGTGATATTAGTAACTCCATAAATTCTTCTCCGAGTTGGATTTCTGGAAATATATTTAGCACACATGACATGAGTACAGTAGTAGTCTAGATATACCCACATCGCGGTTTCCACCATTTCTCAATCATAAGGCTCAGCTCATTCAGCTCATAGATAAACTACTACTCGTCTTGAAATCATAATTCATTCAGTCAATTCAGTCAAGAACAGTCTCTTCTGGTGAAATATATAAAGCTTTCAGTACAATTTATATGTTCCCTAAACCGCAAAGATTATTCTGAAGTAGTAAACTCTAAAACTAGAGGATTGTTTATCTATATTTTGGTATAATTGAATCAGGAATTCCATATCCATAACCTAAAGAACAACGAATGCCAAAAATCTAGTGTTTATCCCCAGAACTGAATAAGGATGGAGCTATATAACTGTTTCACAAACACTTTAGAGTGAGAGGAGACGAGGGTCTGTCCGTACCCTGTTAAGATGACTTTAACGTCAATTTCCATCAAGGGACCCTAGTAACTCGGAATTTCGGCTTGTTACTGAGAATTTCATGTTACAAGTCGAAATTCCGTGTTACAACTCGGAATTCTGAGGAAGTCGAAATCAGCAAACGCAAACCAAGGATCTCTCAAATAATTTTAAATTGGCATCTGGTTGTTGAACTACGAAGGCGTAGAGGGGTCATCAACTTATTTTTATTTCAATTCCGAGTTGTATTTCGGCATTCCGACTTGCAACTCGGAATTCCGACTTGTAATTCGGAATTCCGAGTTTCAACTCGGAATTCCGACTTGTAACTCGAAATTCCGACTTGTAACTCAGAATTCCGAGTTGCAACTCGGAATTCCGACTAGTAACTCGGAATTCAGAGTTGTAACTCGGAATTCCGAGTTCCAACCCGAAATTCCGACTTGTAACTCAGAATTCCGCTGAAGTTGTGATGCCTGAGCCTGAATTTTTATTTCAGCAGAACGCAGAACACAGAGACCACCCTGGGTGGTCTGTGAGGCAGAAGTGAAGTTTCTACAGAAACGAACTATTGTTGCAAATGTTAAAGTGCTGATGATGGAACCTGGAACCACTATATGATATGATTAAGTTATTGTGACAATGATGAATGTGAAATCATATGGTTCCTTTTCAAATTTGTAGGTATTTTAGGTACACCAGTCAGCATCATGTGAATTCTGTATGTAGTTTTGTATTTGATTGGTTCCATAAAAAATATGCCCAGGCAACCAGATGACGTTACAGTGACGTCTTTTTACGTCACTTGAATGACCAAGGTGACGTCAGTAGTTGACGTCGCATTGACGTGAAAATGACGTGAATAAGCCACAGCCCAATGACGTCATATTACTCACGTCGTATTGACGTCATTCACTCACCAAACTGTGGCTATATTCCGAATTCAACTGACAGTACTGAATCTGCTGATTTTTCATTCCGAAATCAAAAAATTCACTGAAAGTGACAGATGCTTGTGAGCAGACATACTATTCATTCCAAATATTTCGACTCAACATTCTGCTGAAATTGCTGAGTATCAGAAGGTAGTGTGGCTTCAGTGAACTGTCATTATTCTAGAGGAGGGAGGGATGTAACATTCATTTCTGTTGTTGATAATATTATTCTCAATATCAGAAAATACCTGTTATTGAAAGAATAAGCGCTGAGAATGATATTGAGTATGAATTAGTAGAGTTACAAAAAAAGAAGAAGCAGCATTGGCTAAATAAATAACTAAATAAACCTGAAATGTCTCCTCGATTCATCATCATTACGTTTTCTATGAATCTCTCAATTCTCAATCTGGTGCATCATGAGAAATTGTTGGCAACAAAATGTCCAAGTATTCTTCATCACTCGAACCTAAATCGTCATCGTCAATAATCGTAGAAACTATAGAGGCTACAAGAATCGATTGCTCTTCCATGTTAAATATTAAATATTAAATATCTAATCTCTGGTAGAAGTCCATGTTTGCTCAAAGTGGAGTGGAATTTTTAAAAGGAGGAAGGAAAGCTCAAACTTGAAGTTGTGGAGATGACTTTGAGCTTTCCTTCCTCCTTTTTATTAAATATCTAGTCCATATGAACGAGAAACTACAGACTGACAAATTTCACCAGCTGATCAACTGCTGCTGACTACTGATGAAAATCATGAAAACGTGTCCCGAATTACAGCACTGTATTTTTGATTTTATATTTCGGAACACAGATTTTCAGCAGATTCAGTGGATCTACTGACAGTACTGACCAGTTGAATTCGGAATATAGCCTGTGACGTCCGACTGACGTCATAATGACGTCAAAATCACGATTGAATTTGACGATGATGCGTGAAAAAAATCCTTTAACATGGCGTGATTAACACCACTAGCCTTTGATGACATATTATATAATATTGATTATGCATTGTTGAGACTGCTTGGTGGGTCCCTCCTCTGTGTCATGTTCATTCAATCGCCTATTCAGCTGCGCCATCCTTCAGTACGCATCTCCATCAGGATGCAATCAGTTACTCGTATTTGTATAAATAATTATGTAGTTTGTGTCGGCGAGATGTAAGCAAACAAAGAATAGTTTGGTAGCAATGGAAAGGATGTTGGCGAATTTGGCTTCACTTTGTTGAATAATATACAATATTGATGCATTCTTTGTCACCCAACAAAAATTTAAATAGTAAATTATTGAAATTCCTAAATGACGAAGCTCACCAAATTGGTACGTCACACCGACGTGATTTTTAGACGTCATAGATACGTCACTGCAACGTCATAAGAGTAACGGTTTCAATATATAGGTATACCTGAACAATCATTTTCATATATACATAGCTTGTTAGTTTCCGAGATATACAGAATGTCGAAGTTTTTTTAAAAAAAGTTTCTCTACTACTTTTCGGGTAACTTAATAGTTAGAATAAAACTTGCATGTTGATTCACTTTCATGAGTTATAATTCTGTTTCACATGATAAAATATAAGTATCCATGGTTTGGAGAAGGTCTGGGAAAAATGGACGTCGATACAGGACGTCCCTGCAACGTCATGGAACTGACGTCTTCTTTTACCCATCTAAGTGACGTTCACTCGACGTTGAAACGATGACGTGATTATCACGTGACGTCATAAATTGGTGTGTGACGTCTCTGACGAAAAATCACCAATCAGGGACGTCACAGTGACGTGATAATTCGTCATCTGGTTGCCTGGGTGTATCAAAATATATAACTATCATTTGATCATTGTTTATTTTGTTACATTTGTTTCAATCAGATCACTGAATATTAAATAAATGATCTATGAAGATCTTTCCATGACATGTAGATCTTTTGTAATGTATATAACCTACTGTGAAATGAAATAATGCAGGTATTTTTCATTTATCAAATAGGTACAATTTTGATATACTTATTACTATATTCATCTTCTTTTATAAAAGATAAAAATATATCACAACAAACTGTAATTTGCCTCCATTTCTCAGGACATTTCATCTTCATTACACTATAAAATATGAAATGTTACATAATTTAATGAACATACCTATAGATACCAAGTTTAGCAAGGAAGCAAGAATTCATGATTCAAGTAAAGTAGGTAGATATAATTAGATGTCTTCTTGAAAACATAGGTACCAGAGGTCTCTTATTGGTTCTGATGCATGATTGCTCTCATTTCAATCTGCTCTCAATTTT